AAATCCCAAGACTTGAAGATAGGAGAAACAGTGCAGCATAAACAGGAGTAGAGATAAATTACAACCATCAAATGAACTAAGGAAGCAACATGACAGTAAGATAAGACATACTAATGCTCTCTGTATAAAAGTAAAGCTTTTCAGTTGACATTGATGAGTTATGAGTGGAAATCACATTGGACTAAATGGGCAAAGGGCAAGGGTGATGTGGATTCAAAGGCAAAAATAGTTTTGTTTTGAACACCTTACGGTTTGAGGATACCTGTAATAATTATTTGCCGTAGGCCTGTATTCCCAAATCTGCCAGTCCCTTGGGGAAGAGAGCTGTTATTTGGCATGAAAGCTGTAAAGGAGTGAAACAGAAACTAAAGTGCAGTTTTCATAGTTGCAAGGTGTAGTGAATCATGCAAGGCTCATAGGAGTGTGCTGTTAGTTTTGCTCATCAAGTCTTTTCCTCTACTACCAACTTTTGAAACTGATAGCCAGTTTGAAATCACCTGGAAAGAACTGGAAGGTGGTAAGGACCGAGCAGCAACCACGCACCACCATGCGCCACGTGGTCGCTCCCTGCCTCCCACCTTTCCCCTTCCCGGTAAGATGGGGGAAAGAATAAAAAAAAAAAGGTGGAACCTCGTGAGTTGAGGTAATGACAGATTTTTAATAATACAACACAAGAAATAGAGAAGATAATAGTAAAGAGGATTATAGAATGACACACAATGGAAAGACGCTCGCCACACAGAAGCCCTCACCCTCTCCCAGCTAGCCTCCCCTTATATCCGGGGCATGACGGCAGCACGGTATGGAATATCTCTCTGGCTATGGCCACCTCCTGGCTTCTGTGAAAACTAACCCTATCCCAGCTGAACCCAGGACAGAACGTCAAAAATACCCTCCAACAGGCTTTAGAAATTGGTGGCCAGGTGGAAAGAGACCAGATTAGTGTGCTTGAGACAAGCAGAACATGGATGTTTTATATGATTTTGACAACAGCCAGGTTGACAGTCCACACATTCTTCTCAGCTGCTGGCACAGCATTGCTCACTCTTCCTCTGTATCCCGAAGGACATGGGAAGAGAGCAGAAACCAGGATGTGGGAGGAGGGTTAGGGACACAGGATGCAGCTCCTGACCAGTGAACCAGGCTCCATTATTTTCTTGTTTTTGATTTAATGTTTTTTACAATCTAATTTGCTGACTGCTTTTACCTGAGAGTCCCTGAAGAGCGTAGGTTTTATTTCATCTATACCATTAAACAATCCCAAGGGATTAAAGGCTTTCAGTTCCTTTTTGAACACTTGATAAATTTGAGAGCTGAAAGTATGCTTTTATTTTTAATGAAACTGCATACTATTTGAACTATTATCAGTTGGAATGTTTCTGGAGTTTAATTAGCAATGCGTCAGTGTTGCTGTGAAACATAAAATCTTAGTTTTGTTTGCCATTTGCAGATGTATTGCTTATATGTTATAAATTTATTCTGTGTGCATTTAATGCATACAGTCTGAGAGCATTATTTTAGCTTTAATTCTTGGTTGTCTTCTTTTTTACTTATAATATACTAAGAGATCCACCAAAATGCAATATTAAATCCATACTCTTGTATAAATCAGTTAACAGGTGGGATTTTTCAGTGGCATCAATACCCATATCGTGAGGACCCTAATTACCGTTGTTGCAAAATTTGTATTTACTTCCTTTAGTAGAGGCTCAGGCTTTAAAATTTGAAGATCTCCTGTTATCTATTTGTCGTGGTTTCACCCAGTTAGCAGCAGCAAATACCATGCAGCCACTTGCTCACCCTCCCCCCCTCCTAGGAATGGGGGAGAGCATTGAAGGAGTAAAGGGAAAAGAGACTTGTGGATTGAAATAAAAACAATTTAAAATACAATAAAGCTGAAAATAATAGTGCTAATAATAGTAATGATAGTAGTAATATATACAAATGAGTGATACACAGTGCAGCTGCTCACCACCCAATGACCAGGCCCCAGCCTGTTGCTGGCTAACTATCCTGGAGCAGGGAGAGTCCTGAAACCACAGTCCCAGAAAAGAGAGTCCCAAAAGTGAGCGAGCTGACCTGGGCTAGTGGGAGGTGTCCCTGTCCGTGCCAGGGGGGTTGGAACTAGGTGATCTCTAAGGTCCTTTCCAGCCCTAACCAATCTATGATTCTATGACGTGCATGAGATGGAATATACCGTTGGGCAATTTGGGTCTCAACCCCAAACCTAAGGTCAAATCCTAAGCCAGTAATTGGGGCTGTGCTCCCTCCCAGCTTCTCCTGCCCCTGCAGACCCTGGCACAGCAGAGAAGCTGGAAAGTCCTTGACTGTCCTGGCAACAAATATAAACATCAGTGTGTGATCAGCCTTCTTCTCGGCACAAATCGAAAACATAACCTCTTGCTAGCTAATGTGAAGAAATTTAACTCTGTCCCAGCTGAAACCAAGACACTAGTCCTACAACATTCCACATGGAAAATGTTAACTCTTGGCCAACCAGAAAAGATACGGAAATTTTGTAAAAGATCCTGTTTCAGTTCCTTCTCAGCTGCTAGCATTAATAACTCCAGAAAAAAAAAAAGTTTGTTGTTTCACTGTCTGTCTAAAAATCTTGTAAGCAAATGTAAGAGCTTGAAAAAGAACAGTCATCATGTTTGTGTGTAAATATATACAGTTAGTGTCTTCTTTGGGAGAGGTAGCATGGAAAAACTCCTCTGGATGATCTAGCTCGCTTGCTTGCCAAAGGCGAATTAGCAAACTCTGAAAACTTAGAACTATAAAATATGTGTCCATCCTTAATTTATAAAAAATAAGTAAAAATGAGTGGGGTCTTTAGTGAACAAATGTGCTGGTTTGTAGCATTGCTTAAACCTCGAGTAATGGTTTGAAGCAGCTGTGTACCCTTTTGGAACGTGGGTGCTGTCAAGGCAGAACTATCCGGGTGTTGCAAACTTTGTTTCTGTCGTACAGTCTGAATAGATACTGGGGAAGATCTTTCAAAACTGGAAATGTCTAGATGATTTTTAGGAAGAGGAGTCATCGTTTTGTTTGGAAGGGTGTCCATGTCCAGTACATGGAAGTCTGATTCTAACTCGTGTATCTTCAAAGCACACATAGGTGCGTGCATTATATCATCCTTCCATCTCATTGTCATTGTTCAGAAACCTGCTTTTGTCTCACCTTCATCCGCATTTCATCTTAGTAGAATCTTTGGTGTATACGTTTCTGAACGATACTCATCTCGCAGATTTCCAAAGCTATATGTGTACAATTTATGAATTCTCTTTAATATGAGGAGATTACGTAGAAAGATTTGTATCTCTGGCTGCACATTTTATTCTGAACACAAGACTTGGCTGTCTTTTACAGTTTTCTTTTTATATTTGTGTTGGGATTACGTGCTAAAGTGAGATGATTAGCAGGAAAGATTTATTAAAGTTTCACTGTTAGGACTGTGAATAGGAGGTTGTCTGATAGTGGGCAGGTGATAGCCAAGCTGATCAGACTCCTCCGCTGTAAGAGGCTGGGCAATAGGCGCTGCATCGGCTGGCGGGGGGCACTTTGACCGTCTGATCAGGCAGACAAGCAGTAACCGTAAATGGGAAGCTGCTGCATTAACGTTTTTTACAGCAGAAGTTTTCAGTCCACCTCACTCTTGGCTTACCTAGCCCAAAATTTTGTCAGTAACGATTTTATGGGAGGCAGTGTTGCAAACAGTGGCAAAGTCAAGGTCGATGGTGCTCACTGCTTTCCCCTCACCCAGCCAGCCAGTCATCGTTGCAGAGGGCCAGCAGGTTGGTTACGTGTGCTTTCACCTTAATGAACCCGTGCTGATGACAACTGGATCACCTTCCTGCCTTTCGTGCATTTGGAAATGATTTCCAGGAAGATTCATCCTATGCAAACTTGTCAATGGTGGGCAAGTATTTTTATTCATGTATGTGTGCGTGTATATACACGTACGAGCTGGCTGGAGGAATAAGCTAGGTTGTTGATAGGATGCAGTGGTGTGCTTTTGAGCGGTTAAAATATGATACTTATTTTTTAGAAATACAAATCTGGGTCAGAGAATCATTTTATCAGTCAAAAAATACTCATTTATAAAGAGATACTGAATATGAATGTTGTAGGGGTATACATTTATATAAAAATATAAATTGTAGTAATAATATTTAAGGTGTATTACTTTTTTATTTGAAAGAACTCCAATGCATTTAGATATGGAAATGAGGATTTCTTCTAGCAGTGTTTTATGAAATGATGTCATGTTTACTTTGTAGAGCGGTGTATTTCAATACATCATAGCTACACATTTCCATTTTGGGTAGCAAAGAAAACCGTTTTAATTTTTTTAATAGAAAGACTATGGAAAAAAAAAATTACTAACATAATTCTCATGTAAGTTCACATCAGTCCTCCTGTGGTTCAGGAGAAATGCCTTGCTTGCACCTTGTTAAACAACATCATGAAAGTGAATTGTTTGAATTTGAAAATGTAGTGGATTTTCTACCAGTTAGCATTTAATCAAATTTACTCCTGATAACTCTGTTGACAGAAAGCTCCAGTATAACTCTTAGCTTGCTCGTGTATTTCAATTTCAAAGAATTTGTTTGTTCATTTGTCTACATGTGACAAACAGCATTACTGTGTGTGCAGGGTAGTCACCCACTTTCTGTGACAGCAGATGGACACGATGACAGCTAATGCTGCCAAGCTGCCTCCTGGGGAATCCCCACTTTTGGAAGAGGTTGTGCATATGACAGTTTCCTGTAGTACTCATCTTTTGAGAAGGGAAAGTTTCTAGGTAATGGATGTGATTTTCTCATAAATCTCATATGTATGTACCTAGTAGAGTTTTTAACTCTCTAAAATTTTGAATTTTACTTTTTTTCTTTAAAAATTTTAATATGTAAATCCTATTTCTATTTAAGGAAATTGTTGGGGGTAAAAAAGATGGAGATGTATTTTAGAAGGTGAAATTTACTGTTCTTTCTCTTTAGTTCCAGGCACTGCATGCTGTATCACAGACGCTGGTTTTGCTAGGAAGGAACCACATACTAAAAAATTCTTTAATATCTCTTCTGCTGTCAGAAGTCCGTCAGTTTGCTGAGCAGTTGTTGCAAGGTCACCAGGTACTGTCATCTTTTCTTTTGGAGAAGGGCCAAAGAGTGGTATTGGGGAGTGTTTTTTCTGTATCTGTTTGCTTCATAAAATGTAATAAATGGGTCGTTCCATAGAATATACAGGTTTAAGAACACAGAAAATGCTAACAGCTAACTTTAACATCAAATTCCAAAAAAGAGATGTAAAGTAAAAGAACATGTCCTTAGGAACAAAAGTAAAATTATTAGACTGTGTGTGTTTTAAGATCATGCTATATCATTTGGAAAATACTTGACTTCATTAGTTAGAACAATTATTGCAATGTGGAAGTTGTTGGCTATGAAGGGAATACAACTTAGGTGTGCAGCTGGACCCACAAAGAATTACGTCTGTCTCTAGCTCGTGTAAAACTGGAAAGAAAGGTGCATTGTTTTATTTCAGAATTAGATTTAATGTTTCACATTATAGTATTGATTTTCATGATGCAACAGTTATCCAACAATTACAAATTTATCTAATTCGTTACAGTGAGTAGGAGGGGAAGAGCAGAATAGACTGGGGATAATATTTTTGGTAAAATTTATTCTTAGGTCAGCTTTTTTCCAGTAACCTATAGAGTTTAAAAAAAAAAAAGAGAGACAGTAAGTGGATGTTCCTTTAACAACTGGAGAAGAGATGTATGAAATAAATTGGGTTTTCATAGATTTTTCGTGTATTTGTGTGTGGTGATATGTATTTAATGAAAACTCTTCAGTTTCACTTGGGATGATGACTGATCGTACACTGTCCTAGAAGGGTCAATAAAAAGAAAGCATGAGCTTTTTATTTGGTGGCAAATGAAGTTCTTGATATGTGTAAAAACCATTCATATTAGGTATATTTAGTGCTGGTCCAGTTTAACAAAGGTTTTAATTGCTGCTCAAGCAATCTTAACTTTCTTCTTTTCCTCTCTAGGATGTGATATGGGAGTAAGTTCTAACTGCTGGAGAGGGGATATATGATTTCTGACTCAAATTCCTATTACATTTGAATTATATTCTGCAAAAGCTTCAGAAAGGCCATTTTTGAAAGAAGTAGACAATGAGCTGTGTCTTAGTTTAAGTCTCTAGTAGCATAGCAGAGATATTGATGGCAGCTAAAACCAGAGTTTAAACAGAAGGGTAGGGAAGTGTGTAATAAAAAAAAGATATTTTTTTTTTTAAGTTTAACAAGTTGGTCATTTTTACCATTACGAAGTCTCGCTTGTTAAACAGAATTCGTTATTATTTTACCAGTGGCAGCACAGAACTGTCCAGTGCTCCACACTGTGCTCCCATTGTGCTTTGCTGAGTTAGTCACTATGGTCCCACTTAACCTTGCCATGCTGTAATTATTTTAAGTATTGCTTTCATATTTAGTAAATAAAATTTATTTCTAAAAATTTCTAAAAGAAGTTTGACTCCTCTTTTGCTTCACTTTATGTTGGAAAGAATCATGTATTTGATTTTAAGATCATAAGAAGAGGCATCACCAAACTGTGTAACTTGCAGTTGAGAAAAAGGGAATAAATTAATATCCTGTGATTTTAACTGTAAATGATTCTGTTTAACTACACAGGTGATTTTTGCTGATGGCAAATTATTTTATTACTGGCAGTGTAATTGGTTTATTTATGGGAAGAAGTTTGATTCGTATATAAATATAGACAAGTTGGTAATTTAATCCCTGAACAATCCTGATACCACAGCTGGTATAATTGTTTAAATGCCTGTCTCAATAGGGTGGCTTGATACTTCTAGTTGATGGTACAGCAGTTTTCCTTTTTTTTTTTTTTTTTCTTTTTTTACCTCTGGGAAATAATTCAAGAATTTGGAGCCATGTTTACATAAAGAGAGTTCCCTGCTCTGCTTCTGATTCCTCCCACTATGCTGTCAGTCTTCCGTCTGCTGCTTCCAATGTGTAGACCCTCTCTTTTCTTTTTTTTTTTTTTTTAAACTGATACAGTAATTTATTTATTTAATTTATTTATTTATATTTTCCTCATCCAGCATTATAAGTGTTTCTTGGAAGATTAATGCATCTTGATCAACAAGCCACAGCCCATGGTCCAGGGTGGGACTGTCACAGCATTTTACCGAAGCTCCTGGGGCTTGCTTTTGAGTCCTTTTCAAACCCTTCGCATTTAAGTGACCATCAGGAGAATAAGTTTCAGGCACGTAGGTAGAGACTCTAGTGACTAATTTTACAATGACAAAGTAGTCTTGAAGCGTTCACCCGCCAACACAGTGTTGGACTTTTCCTGGGAAGAGCAGGAAGTTCAAGGCAGCCGAACGGGAGCCCCAGGAACCGTGCATCCCTCTGTACCTGACACCTCCTAGGACTGTCAGATTTTGAAAAGCTGCAGTTCATGCTTAGCTTGCTGTGAAGTCAATGTTTTTAAAGTTTATGCATTCTTGCTTTTAGTCCAAATAGATGTGTTGTGTTCATTTACACATTCTGCATGTGATAATTATTTCTGGAAACGTTGCTTAACAAAAGCCTTTCCACATGTCACAATAGGACAGTAACCTCCACTCTTTCTGACAGCCCGATTTACAGACCTGCTTCTGAATGTTCCCCTTAAGACAATCAAATTAAGGACTTTAAATTTTATTCGTGATTAGAGGTGTAAAAATACCTCTTATTGTTGGCAGATAGGAGGAATAAAGAAATCATCTGAGGCCTGCGTTCAGGTTTGCCTGCAATCAACTTTTAAACGTTTGGTAAAAAACAAAAATGGAAAAATAGCTTGTTCATCCCAGCAAATTTTATTATAG